AACCAGTATCACTTAGGGCTAAAATAGATAGTAGCTGATTCTCAGACCTACTGAATATGTATATAAAATTTCATAAAAATCGGTCAAGTCGTTTCAAAGGAGTATGGTAACGAACATCGTGACACGAGAATTTTATATATAAGATAGTAGCAAAACAAAAATACGTTCTCCTGACATTGACATCAAAGTTATACCGATATGATATTAATTACACGATTTTTATTATAACAGATTTGTTTGTCCGTTTATCTAACAGTGATAACCTCCACCTATATATGTATATTTAATTAAAACTAATATGTTAGTTACAGAGCTTGTAGCTTATAGTTACGGAGCGGTAGATTAAAAAAATGTAATGACTATTCAAAAGTGCTTCAATGTAAGTTTATTTGAATAAATTATTTTCTATTCTATTCTGTAGTATAATATAACCGGCGGCTCCTTCCGTGTTAATAATTTAAATTCTGTTCTCGAGGGACTTGGAATATTTTTTTTTATAGTGAAAGAATTTTTTTATGTCTTGATTTATATTTGTAAATTACTATACCTACTGTAAGATATATCAACTCTATGTACTAGTAAAAGTATGTATTATAATAAAATAACAACGATATAGCATTAATGTAACTATGTCTCTAACACAATTCACTTTAGCATTTAAAATTCAACCAGCACATCCTGTGCTCAAAGGCTTTTTTTTTCCGGACTTAATGCTGTTGGCCGCAGCTAAACATCATTTTAAAAAATACAGCTTCACCGGACGTTAGGGGCAGATAAATGCAATAGTCATATGTATATATGGCACTCCAAACCCGCGGAAGGACTTATGGAGCGGCTGAAGGCCAACTCACGCCTGACGGATACGACTTTAGTCTGAGGGCACCACTAGGGGTTCGAACCTCGGCTCAGGCCGTCGTAATTTCGATCCCCGTTTGAATTGGACGCGGGATCGGTCGGAGGGACGCCCGGGGGCGCCAAACCAAGTAAGTGCAGTTTGTGTGTGTGTGTGAGCGTGCGTATGTGTGCGTGCGTATGAGCGCATGTGTATATGTGTGAGTGTGTGTGTACTCATTGTATGACTAGTGTTATTACTATTATTCCTGCAAAAAAATATTATTATTATTATCTACTGTAAAATTATGCATTGCAACGCTATAATAAAAAAATAAAACAATTAAATAAAAAATCATTTATTCATGTAGGACATTTTAGCCGTTTATGAATGTCAAGTATTTTGTATTAATATTTTTTACTACCCTCCTATTCAGTATATAGATTCAATTGAGAGGAACTAGCAAGAATATCATATTTATATTCATATGCATGTAGTAAAAACGGTTATTTCAATACAATTACAAACAGACACTCCAATTTTATTTATATGTATAGATATTTACATATTTAGTATGAAAGTGGCACCGGTGTCAGAGAAGTTGAAGAGTAATCTTCTATCATGGTATGGACATGTAATGCGTAGGAGTGAGGATAATATTTTAAAGGTGTTACATATGAATGTGGATGGTTATAAGGGCAGAGGAAGGCCGAAAAAGAGATGGATGGACTGTGTGAAAGATGATATGGTAAGAAAGGAAGTAAATAACTAATAAGTAAATAAGTAAGTAAATAACATAATGGGACATTATATTACAATAACAACCAATGTAAACCTATGTTTAGTGCAAATAAATTTGATTTGATTTGATTTGATTTAAATAACGAGATGACTGCGAACAGAGATGAATGGAAGCGAAAAACATATTACGCCGACCCCAAATAAATGGGATAAGGAAGAAGCAGATGATGATGTACAGATTATTTACAAATACTATTTAGCTATCATATGACATATCCAAAATATTCAAAATTTTTTTTTTAATATACAAAAATGACATTATTCGTTTCTGTACCATATTTCGATTTGGGACTTTGTTTCGTGGACGACGACTATTATTTATCAATACATGACCCGATTGACCTTAACGGTGTCGGTATCTACTCGTATGTACTTACAAATTAACATTTCCGTGACATTGTAGGTATATATATGTCACATATATATATAGACATCTATTGCATATTAAGATCAGAGTTCTGGGTAGCGCTACCAGAGTTTTATCGAAAAGAATAACTTTTTTCTGTGAAATAATTATTTTCCATATTATCTTTTCAAGACTGACTTATAGGAGACTTTTTTTACGAGTTCTAGCCGATCTGATCGGAGTTCTGGGTAGCGCTACCTGAGTTCTATCCTCATAACTCAGCGCTACCCAGAAATCCGATCAGATCGGCTAGAACTCGTAAAAAAATTTTTGAAAATATGACATATCATAAGTCTGTAATAGACCTACATGAATAAAGATACTTTGAATTTGAATTTGAAATACATGAATCTCTGTTTGCCTAAAGGTGGACTAGGAGAAAATGCCTCAAGGTGTTAGGTCCGCCATGTGCACTTTTATTTATGTATTAATAAATAAATACACAAAAGTTACATAGTTATGAACACACGGCCGAATTTAAAATTATATTAGACGGCCTCAGTGGTACAGCGGTTTAACACACCGCCATACTACCTATGGTCGCGGGTTCGATTCCGCGCACGGCACAAACATTTGTATTCATGAGTATGATTGTTTGTATCGGTTTGGGTGTTTTATATGTATATTATGTATGTATTTACAAAAATATATATCTATGTATTTATATGAGTATTCTAGTACCCATAACAAGAGCTATGCTTACCGTGGAACTAGATGTAAAAAAGATGCAAAAAATATCTATTAAAATATACATATAAAACACCCAGACCGATACAAACAATCATGCTTATGAATACAAATATTTGCACCGTGCGAGAAATCGAACTCGCGACCGAGTAAAGCGGTATGCTAAACCGCAATAGTTGTTCATGCACTGAATTTTTGAAAATTTAATGTTAGACATAGACACCTATATAAATATACATTGTAAATAAACTGGCTTTAAAAAAAAGTAATTCAATTGAGTTTCTTGCCAGTTCTTCTCAATTGGATCTATATACCGAACTGGACGGTAGGGAAAAAATAAAATTATAATGTAAAAATTTGACGTTCATAAGCGGCTCAAAATTTCCTACATGAATAAATGATTTTTGAATTAGAATTTGATAAGGTTTATATATATAATACATGTATAACCGTGCGGAGCCGGGGCGACTAGCTAGTTCACTATAAACATAAAGTAAAACGTATTACAAACTGTACCTACTTAATGTTTATTAATACCACAGATAATATAATATTACATATTAATACTAAAGCTGTGCCCACTGTTTCTTTCGCGCCTACACATAGATTTTTGGTGTTATTTTTTATGCCATTTCAATGTTTCAACAATAAATTATTCTTATTTTATTCTATTATCATGAAAAGTAAATTAGATAAATGCCATTAGGTGTTAAGTCCGCCATATGTACTTTTTACCTGTGTATGACGTGCATTAAAGTTATTTAAATAAATAAAAATAAATAAGTACCTTGGTAATATATAGTTTTGATATATTTAATCGAATTAGATGTTATATTGCGGAAGTCCATTTCACTACTTGAGGAATTTATATTATTCTGTTTAATTCAGCTACAATTAGCTTGTATGAGACCACAAATCTTCGGTGTAGCAACTTGACTACCGTTACCACCTTCTCTAATGGTGATCAAATTCCGACCGTTATTGTATTTAATTAGTAGTAGTATAAAGTAACTCATTATATCAGCTACCTGTCAAAATACGTCACGTCAAAATCGGTCCAGCCATTTCAGAGATTAGCCGGAACAAATTTGTTATTTTGGTGTATGTACCGTATTTACGTGTATGCATGTAGTAAAAAACGGTTATTTCAATATTACATACAGACGCTCCAATTTTATTTATATGTATAGATTAATCTAAAATAAAATTTAACCAGGTTTGAAATAGGTGTGGTTAAATATAACCACACCTATTTCAAACCTGGTTTAATTTTATTTTAGTAAAATCTAGTCGTTCTAAAATCTATATATTAACAGACTTATTCTAGAATTTCAGTGTTTGTGGCAAATACTGGCTGTATTTGCCACAAACACTGAAAATAAACCGGGTTTAAAAATATTTGATTTTAAACCCGGTTTAATTTTACTTTAGTAAAATCTAATTGTTTTAAAATCTATATATTGATAGACTTATTTTTACAGTCAGTATTTACCACAAACACCTACAACCAAAGCTATAAACTGACAATTGGACAAACATACAAACTAGGAATTTTTATCATTAAGTAAATTTCTCTTTACGGCTGATCCTTACTAATATCAGAAACGCGAAAGTATATATCTGTCTGTCTGCCTATCCGTTTGTTAGCGTTTCACGGCTAAACGAATCTAAACGAAATTTGACGTAAATATAGACAGTATCATGGCGGATGTAAAGGTTTTTCTGTTAAAAAATGCAGACGAAGTTACGGTTAAGAGGTAGTTTCACAAATAACTGATGTATGTATGTATAAATTATAATGCATTTAAATCTGCTAATCTAAAAATATATAATATGTAACTATTGAAGAAATTGACTTTTAAAATTTTATTTTCGATACGTAAAGCATAGATATATAGATTAGGTACAATAATACTTCGTTACATTTATATAGAAGGCATCTAGATGTGTAGTAATAGGTAATTACTGTATTAAAAAGGTGTATATCAGTATATTGTTCACAGGAATTAACTAAAGAGAGCACGCCAAGCCCTATTCTGAGCACGCAGAAATCCCTTTGTTAGAAATATTGATAGCTGTACCCAAAACTGTGTCAAGGCCAGCCAAATTGTACAGCGAAAATCCGCTGACATACAACAAAACTGTGTATTCCAAACAATTTATCACGAAAGACAAGGACCCAATACGTTTATCAGGTCTAAAAATATTTATCTTAAGATAACAGAGATAAATCCGATGCAATGTAAGTTGACGATACACAAAAATAACACTTACCTGTTTCACCATCAATCTCGCTACCCTGGGACTTGCGAATGTCACGAATCCATAACACTTGGACACTCCCGCTCTATCGTAGATCACCCTGGCAGCGGTCACTGTCGCGAAGCCAGAGAAAAACTTCCACAGGTCCTCGTCGGTTGTCGTCAATGAAAAACCACCCACGAATATTCTGTTGTGTATTACTGTCCCGAATTTTGGTGCATCCGATGGAGGGAGAGAATCGTCTGTGTCTTCATCAGGAGAGTTTAGTAATGCCTTTAATTTTTCATGAGGGTCCACACTTTTTCTGTTATTTGCCGTGTTCTCTTCCACCATGTGGGCGCAACTGGCCGATTCACTCCTAATATACCTTTTAACACTTGCTTCCATTTTACTTTTTAATTTAAAACATGTTCCCTTGTTTACTAAACTAAGAAATCTAGCGATAATTAAAACGGACACTAGCGAGCAGGTGAAGAAATGGTAGTGACTGAGTGAACGCAGTCCTTACTATCGATCCGAGAGGTATAGATAAGTAGTCTATGCGTTGCGCTGTAGTAAGGGTAACGCAGACCACGCAAGGAACGGATTTTACATTGAAAATAAACTTAAGAGTGCTTGGACATTTAATGGTACACACTAAAAATAGTGTACGAGCTATTGTCGCTTGCTATTTTTAATGTTCGAGGCAACTGGGTCGTCGAGTGGAACTTCGGCGGCTCTTATCGAAGTGATTATGTTAGTTCGCTTCTGTTATGCGTAGGTGGCGCTTCCGTTGCAGTATATTTATATTTATTAACATTATTAATTATTATTATATACCTAAATATCATGTTATAAGATTCCATCGACAATATAAAAGATAAAAAGAAATAAAATAAAACAGTTACCGTCCTCATTTAATTAAAAAAATAAACTTAATATTCTTAATACCTAAACAAGGTATATTTTCATCAGTATTATTTATAATAGATAATTATTATAATCCTAATTTTAAATTATATTTTTTAGGCATTGTAGATAGAGGTCTGTGATCTCTTTTAATCAGAAAAATAATAATTGTTTTAAGTGTTGCCAGTAATTGATTTTTACTCTTTCCCTTTTAGGTAGGAAAAGTTAAGAGAAAGACATGTTACTGATATAATTCATTAGATATTTATATATTTTTTATAAATATTATAAAAATTATGAAATAAAGTAATTAACCAACTTAAAAAAAGGCTTGTGACTCATTCCTAGTCAAGTGTATGTACCCTACATTGTAAGGAATCACAATGACAACACAACGACAAGTCGGCCTCTGGACTTCTTTTGGACAACGTGATTCATTTCCAATTAATTTGGCACAGTCGACTAACAGCTAATCATCTTACAGTGATTCCCAAGAAAATAATATTTCAGAAAAGAAACATTGTTAGGTTAAAAAAAAAATAGCGACTGTACACAACTACATGCAATATGCATGTTATAGTTGCTTTTCTTATAATATGCCTTTTAAAATAGCAAAGATTTTTAAATTATTTTATTTGTTATTTTACTATTTTAAATAGGTTTTTTAATATTCTTATATATTAAAAGTATGCAATCTATAAAATTATTATTAAATTATTACATATATATATACATTTGATGTACTCGTATTTTAAAATTAACGAAACAATTGGAGATGTGTTATTTAGAAACTATATCATGACAACATTGATAAAACGTCAGTGCTGTCATTCCTCATTGAACTGACACTATTTGACTGACATAGTTGTTGATGTACATTCAATCAATCCATCAAAATTAAGCGAATTCCACTTGACTAGACTTCACTGTTTGTTATTTTTATTTCCTTGTACTTTCATTCGGTATTCGCAAAGTGAAAACAATATACACGGACTGTGTTTCATTAAAATTCTTTTGTGTTTCACTATGACTGTGTTCGCGTACACCGAAGTTTTATTAAGCCTCGTCTGATATTTATCCTCTTGCAAGGTAAGCGAAAACAAACGTATAACTACAATAATACTAATAAGGTGCAGATACTTATTTAATTCGCGTGTTCCAACAGTTTACTTTGTAGAAAATTTACCGCCAATAACTAATTGGAGTTGGTTTCTAATTTGTTTTCATATTACCCTCAAAACTTTACAGAATCGTGTCGGAATACGCAAATAAAGTAGTTAAACCGGTTATGCTGTTATTTGCACAATTTGTAAGGCTTCAGTACGTTTTCTTAATGTATAGTCGCAGTGTTCAGGTTGTACAGAATTCTGATATTGTTTTTAACATGAAATATCAAGACATAACAATAAAGTAACTGAAATTATTGCTGATTGAAAAAGGAAAATGTATGAGAATTCGTCTAGTCTGTTTGTATGCATTTGTGTATATTAATCTAAGAAGTAACTTTTTGTATAGGTTTGTTGTGTTAGTAGGAAATTTATATAATACATTATCTCTTCTTCAGTCGTTCACTCTTGGCAGAGTGGTCGTGGCTTTCATATTGGTATATTTTGTGATATGGTATCGTTGTGGTCCTTGGCGAAAGAGCTCCTTACAATTTGTCTCCACCTGGTACAGTTTTTGGCTGAGAACATTGTACCATGGAGTGCTGTGTAGCCGTTCTTATACTGTCAGTCCATCTTGTTGGTGCACCACATCTCGAGGGCATCAATTTTCCTGCATTCTTGCATCCTCACTGCCCAAGTCTCTGCACCATAAAGGAAAATTGGAAAAACTAGTGTTTTCATTAAGTGCATTTTAGTGTTCTACGTGATATTACGGTTTTTCCATATCTTCTGCAACTTGGTCACGGCTGTTCTCGTGATAGCGCATCTCCTTCAATAATACATTATATATATAATACATTATACATACAAACAATCACAAAAAGAATCATTGTAAACCAACGTGGCACATCGAGTAACCCAGTAACTCAACGCTGCCAGTAACTTATTTATTTATTAACACTTTATTGCACCAGAAATTCAAACAATTAAACAAAGAACAAACAAATATTAAGAAGATTTGTTAGAATTTTGCTATTTGTTACTCTTAATATATTATTTAGTTCTGGTCAAGATCGCTGAAAGGCTTTGGATGGGAGCAGCGCAGGACCGATCGTCGTGGCGATCTTTGGGGAAGGCCTATGTCCAGCAGTGGACGTCTTCCGGGTTGAGATGATGATTATAGTTTTATTACGATCGGTTAACAAACTAAAAAGTTATAAAAGTATGGACCTGCATACTTTACTAGTACTACAATAATAGTCTTTGGATAGAATATTCAAATTCAAATTCAAAAATAATTTATTAAGTAGCTAGCTAGTAGTAGTTCTATAAGTAACTTAAGTTACTTCTTATTACATCAGATACCAGCCAAAAGAAGTCCCGAACAAACAGACTAGACAAAAATTGTAAAAAATGTTAGTCTGGTGTATGTACCGTATTTATATTCATATGCATGTAATAAAAAACGGTTATTTCAATATTACAAACAGACACTCCAATTTTATTTATATGTATAGATAGCTTTACTTAATGAATATCTTTTTATCGATGATAATGGAAAAGATAATAATGGATTCCAGCATCCTGCCATGCTTAACTTATGCAAGCCAAACATGGGTATATATGGAAAAATTAAAAACAAAGTCCTGTCCTGTCAGCACGCAATGGAGAGATCACGATGTACTAAAGCTACGCGTGGAATACATAAAATATGGGACACAGTCATTTTTAAGAAGACAAAATAAAAGATGCACTTCAACATGGCCTAATAGTGTGATATTATATATGGAAATGGGCAGGTCAATGAATAGTCTATCTTATACAAAAAGAATTACAAAAGGTGAACTTACCAACTAACAAAGTGGCGGGGACCGACAGGAAAAAACTTTAGGTCGACTCTATATATATATATATATACATTAAAGAAGTGGCCTCAATTTATTGGATGATTGTGGCTGTAATAGAGGGACCTTTTTCTTCAATGGAACAAGTTGGAGGAGGCAATTTTTTTACCCACATGGGACCATATATATAAAGAAAATAAATTAATAAAAAAACTTAAAATATTAGTTACAATTGTAATATATGGACATATGCACTAACATTTTGTTATAATTAATTTTATAATAAAGCTTTAATAATAATAATAAAAAATGGAATGGCACTCACGCCTGTGCTAACGGTTTACGCTGGTGGGGCACCAGTGTCGGATAAGATGAGCATAAGGTCAGGTCACTTAGCACATCGTCAAATTTACCAAGAATTTATCATATATGGTATATATATATCCGCGGAGGTACCTATTCAGAAAAAAAAATGGAATATCTAATACATCTGACAGAATCCTAATTTTAAGTAGCAGTTTTCATTGCAGTTCCACTACTGTTGGTAATAGTGTGATATTATATATAGTCTCTGGGCTTATTCAATGAATAGTCTATCTTATATTTAAAGAATTATCAAAATTGGAACAGCAATACCCGTAAATACCCTGAACTTCTATACTTACAAACTTTACCTCTATATATATATATATACAACAATATGTTTCCTCAATTTATTGTGTTTATTATTGTTTAATATTATAATACAGGGGTGACCAACCTTTTTCTTCAATGGGCCAATTAAAATTTTCAATTTTTTTGGCGGGCCGCACCTAAACTAGCACAATAGTAATTTACAAAACTGTATTTGTAATGAAGATTAGAATAAAAAATATATTAAAAAAAGCAAAGATTTCATGTACCAGTTTTAATGTAAAACAAATACTCGCGCAGACGCACCGAGTTCTTATTATATACTAGCTGTACTCGCGACTTCGTCTGCGTGGAATTTAAATTTATTTTTATAAGCCTAAGTTTCTTGTAATTACATCAGCTACCTGCCTCAAAAAAAAATCTCGTGAATATATATCGGTCCAATTTCAGAGATTAACCGCTACAAACAGACAGACAGACCAAAATTGTAAAAATATATTATTTTGGCGTATGTACGCTTTTTTTATATACATTCATATTTGTAGTAAAAAACGGTTATTTCAATATGATCAGATAGATAATGAACGAGACGCCGACAAGTCAGTAGCTCGTGTGAAAAAAATGTTTCGTTTTAGTATGCACTATAGATTCTAAAACCATTTTGTTATAATTAATTTTGTAACAATATATAGATGGGAGAAATTTAAAAATATAAATTCAGTTTTAGAAATGCTTGACGCCAAATTATGTTTTTTTTTATGGATAATAGGTGCTCCCGCCTACGCTAACGGTTTACGCTGGCGGGGCACCATGGATTATTGATAAGATGAGTATAAGGTCAGTGTGGAGAATCCCGTCGTGACATATTCACCAAGAATTTCCAGGGAGAACTGCGTGGACGTCAACCTGACATGGTACATTGCTAGCAATAAGATCATCAATCCACATTACTAACTGTCCCCTTTCCCCCCCTAGCATAAATAGGTAAATAGATAATAATTTTTATTTGTATCTTAGTACACACATATAGGCTCAATTATAACATCACATGACAAGTACCTATAATATAACAATTCAATAATGGTAAACTCACATGTGTATGCTACAGCAATACAAAACTCTTGAAAATCAGCGTCGTGGTTTTTGTCATGGCATCCCTTACACACACATCAGTACACAGTGACTCGGTGACGATGCTCCGCAGTGGTGGATACGCATTTTTTTTTTTCATTTTTATCAATGTTTTTGGTATATGTGTTTATATATATTATTATCTTTTGTTTGATTTTCTAGTTCGCATTTTTTTTTATTTAATTTTTTTTCTCTTAATGATTTGTATTGTATTTATTATTTCTATTTATATGTTATAATAACTTATATGCTGCCGTGAGCATCGTCATTGTTGTGTTGTGATGTGTGATAGTAATAAATATTCTATTCTATTCTATTCTAAAACATCTATGGGACACAGTCACCTAGATACATCAGATTAATAATTGGATTTAATAATGTCTAGTAAGACAGGAATGAGGACCATGTCTTATGGAAAGTGTATAATATGAATGTGGATGGATGTGCGCTTGACGCTGGGGGACGCCTAGTAAAAAATGATAAAGAAAAGATGGATGGCTTGTGTGAAAGATGATATGAATAAAAAAGATAAATGTTTAGATATGACGACCGATAGAGAGCAGTGGAAGAGAATGACATACTGCGCCGACCACAAATAATGGGATAAAGGCAAGGCAATGATGATGATGAATGTCTAGTAAGACAAATTCAATATTGTCTACTAGGCACTGATAGATACACACATAGACACTTATCTAAACTGTGTCACCCCACCTTACATTTTCCTATTGTTATTTATTATATAAGATCATTATTTCTATGTACATATTGTCAGTTTATCATCATCTGTAATATACATCGTCTCGACCAACAACATCTTATTATTCACCCGCAACATGGTATATAGCTCAGTGTGGAGAATCACTCAAGGAGCAAAACACTGATTTTCAGCTAAATATGTTTAAAGGACCGCATCGCCCCGCGGGCCGCGTGTTGGTCTGCCCTATCCCTGCTATAATAGATATTACTGTTTCAGTTAATTAGTAGGGGTATTAATTGATTTAGATTTTTCCTCCATTTGCTTTGTGACGCATAATATTCTTTCTTATTAGCTGTCAGTAATATTGTGTATAAAAATTGCTACCTGCTATTTGTCCCTAAAAAATGAGTGCTCCCGGCCTGCGCTTGACGCTGGTGGGGCACTAGTCAAAAATGATAAATGTATAAAAAGTGCTCCCGCCTGCGCTTGATGCTGGTGGGGCACTAGTCAAAAATGATAAATGTATAAAAAGTGCTCCCGGCCTGCGCTTGACGCTGGTGGGGCACTAGTAAAAAATGATAAATGTATAAAAAGTGCTCCCGGCCTGCGCTTGACGCTGGTGGGGCACTAGTAAAAAATGATAAATGTATAAAAAGTGCTCCCGGCCTGCGCTTG